AACAAGCGGCTTAACAACTGTGATATAGCTTAGAGCCATCCGTCTGACGCACGTGAGAACCGCCGGTGGTCAATAAAAGAAAAGCATAAGAAAACTTGAATTCTCAATTTGCCAGACGAAGCCTCCGTAAAATAACCTTCTTGCTTTAAAGGCAGTAGGTATCAGCCGAATATCCGAAATTTCAGTAGCAAGAAGGCAAAACATTTGATTCAGGGAATTCCCTGCGCACAGTACGGCGAATATAATGAGAAAGATTGCTTATTCTTCCTTCGATTTTTTCGCCTACTGGTTGTCCGATTAAATTGAGGAAAGCTTTCTTTATTAAGCTCAGGTGATTTATTGCATTTCGCCGACAGCATTTGACAGACAAATGACAAATAATTAGCCGAAATCATTGATAGTACGAACTTACACCACCTCCGGTGTCCATTGATCTTTCTGTGGGTTTCCGACAGGTTGACTTGGACGAATTCGGCCAGTTTATCAACGCAGATAGCCCAATACTATCACATTTGACGAGGCAGGTGAATGTTTCTCATGGTTCCGGCTAATGCTTGCGCTCTCCTGTTGGTTGTGCTTTTTAGCTTCCAACAACGCCCCTTTGTGAATGTAGGGTTTTACCCCACCGAAATGGAGTGCAGGCGACATTCCACCGCCTCTTTTAGATGGTCATCAAAGCCACGTTTGTGTCACGAGCACGGATTCCACAGTTAATTGAACTCGAATGAAGCTTGGTGCAGCAAAGTGAAGACAAAACCCGTAGAAATATCAGGCATGAAACAGACTACAAAAACTAACTATCGTCCCCGTCAAAACGATTATTCCTTCGAAATAGTTGAAGGCTCGTTGACCAGTAGAGATTAGTGTGCCAGTAAATATGTTTTATGTTTTCAAGACTGTTTGTTGGGATTCATCATTGTCATTGTCAGATCTAGGAACCGCGTACTTTTCGTACGCTAGTTGTGGCTGTCAGTTAAATTTTAAGTAGGGGGATTCGGAAAGGAGCTATGCGTTGAAAGCAATAGCTTGGATGCACGTGCGTCGCTGAGGGTGAGCCATGTAGTTGTGGCTGTCAGTTAAATTTTAAGTAGGGGGATTCGGAAAGGAGCTATGCGTTGAAAGCAATAGCTTGGATGCACGTGCGTCGCTGAGGGCGCGTGAGCCATGTCTGACAGTATCTCTAATCGTTAATATGGCCCATCTCGGGATTCCTATCCAAGCAAAAGGCAATGACCAGCACAGCTGAGTTTGCTGGTAGTGGTTATTACACCTCACTGTCAAGTCACAGTATGACCCCCCACATTTCGCATGGTTGTGCGAAAAGAACCCTTCGAGGGAGTCGGTCGACTGGCATACGCAGCATGCACCCACGCCAGCGCAACCTGTGGAGTGTGGCTCAGGCAATTCTCCGAAGAAAACCACGGTCAAACAGTGAAAGTAATTTAACATCCTCGCGCTCAGCAGCCAGGTTTCTGACCTATGTAGCAACGTGGATCGCATCGCAGCATTGTCACAAAAACGCTACAGATGACATGGGTTCACAAAAGCTCCTCTGGCCTTCCTAATCCGGATGGAAATATGATCTTTTGCTATATCACCAGGTTTAATACAGCTTCACAAGTAGACAAACTTGTCTTCTGCCTCAATCGGCTCATTGGAGAGCATGAGGTTAGGGCTCGATCCAATCCAGCATTGTATCAGAATCAGCATGCCAAACCGAGAGGCAGAATTATTTAAGTTGTTCGATGCTGTCTGAATTACAATGTCATTAGATCCAAGAAGAGCTATGTCATCTACGTGCTCGATATTTGTGGGCAGGCGCCTCGGGAGGACTTCGACTCTACAAGCATTGCAAGATGGGAGCGGGTCATCCATAATCGTATCAATGACGAAGTTGAAGAGGAAAGGTGGAAGAGGACAGCCTTGTCTGACACCATCTGTTGTGGCGGACTCAGGCGAAGGTTTCCCGTAGAACTTCACACGGCCGTGGGAGTTGGCATACATCACTCCTCTTACAATCTCACCAACCTCATCTGCTGTATGACATAACGATCAAACTACAAAATGTTGAACCGATAACCAACAGTAATTTAGTGTTTTAATCGAAAGAGATCTTGCTGCCTTAGGACTCGGGAAATCTGGCTTCTACTCAGTCCCGTGCCAAAGTTGTAAACCTACCGAGTGTTTGCCCAGTTTCCGGAAAGGATTATTTCTCAATGGGTTACCCCGCTGTGACACCAACGCATTTCGCTCAGTCTTCTGATAATTCGTTCCGTAATTTGTGTAGTTACACCAACGTGCTAACTTGCGTGCTCCCTTCTGGCGCAAGCATGATTTCAAGGAAACGGTAGCTTTTGCTCTGTCCTTTGGTTTGTGGAAGAGACCAGTGTGGATTATGAACTCAGTCCTGCCCCCTCGGCACACGATCGGACCGACACAGCTGAGTCAAACGATCAGGGGTGCGGGGTGCATCTCACCCTCTTCGGAATGTGGAACAGACAGACCGGACATCAAAGCGTTTGCTGACTACAGGGCAGACCGAGACCATCCTGGAGTGTACGCTGCGTTTAGAGACTTGTTTGTGACCCAAGGAAGGGAGAGTAATCCTCTTCCAAAATACCACACAAAAAGACACCGAAACAGTAAATCCAAAGGAGAAGAACACATTTCACAAAAACCTAGGATAAGAGTTGAAGGAACGGATAGTGTTCCTAAGCGGAAATCACTGAAAGAAGTGAGTATTTTGGGGGAAACTTCGATCTTGTGAACATGAGGGTGCGAGAATACAACGGCATCAAGCTATTTTATTGGAGGGACACTGTCAAACCAACACTGTCTCGCCCTGTCCGGCTTTGATACAAGACCGTCACGTGCAGCATACTGGCGGCGCGTTGTCTGTCTGGTCAGCATCCAGTGGAGTTGAGGAGCTCAGTAGCTTTCGGCATTCAGTGGTAACTTTCAGGAATCTGACCTTCCTGATAGGTTGCTTGATTGCTCGACTGACCACTATGTTCCTGAATGCCTAACCGACCAACTGCTTATCAAAACGAAGTCGGACGGGTTCTGGTTGTGTGGACATTTGACCGATAGTGATGTAGCATCATCCATCATGTGAGTGGAACAGAGTGAAGACCAATAGATCACATAAATGAGGTCATCTGCTGAAGGTTAAAGTGATACCACCGACAAACGTTAGCAAAGGCGAACAAACACAATAACTGAGTACAATACAAACAAGTAACCCTCACATTTAACCACCCGATGAATAACTTCAGGGTTATCTGTAATGCGCTACTCAAAAGCTTGCTGAAAATTCGTCGAGAATCCATGACCGCTTTCGCCCTTCTTGGGGCTCATCAGGTAGGAGCAGTCCCCGATTTACGTCAACCTTACGTTCTACTTGAAAACAAATTGCACAAAATTAGCGAAATACACCCATTTGAATCCCTCGTTTGTGATGTTTACAGGTCGTGGGCTGTCGACGAATCTTCAGCAACCTTATGAATAGTGCATTACAAATATACATGTATTAGCCAATCTATGCTGAAAAGCCGAAAAGCGCTTTGCCATTAGCCGAGTTCACATCATCGGTGTGCAGCTGATAGGTGTTGTGTTCACGGTTGGAAATGCATCGATGTCTAGGCTTGACGTGCTGCTATTCTCGTGTTTTTAGCACCCCCTGTTGGTCGGGGGTGACTTTTGACCGTTCAGTCCAGCGACTCGGCAGGTTGGCCTGTTTCCTGATTGGTCGAATTCTAAATGAGCCTTGAATTGTAACTTTCTGCTTCACACCAAGTAACCTTTGTCCTGATGATTTCAAGGCTGTCATGTTATTGGTCTGATAGGCGATTCCCTTTGATTTCCCTCAAAGTTTGCCAAAAAGTTTATCTGCGCGTCGGTCAGTCCGAAAACTGCTTAGCTAGCCAAAAGACCGATCACAATCTGATCATCGGTGAACGAAAAGTCAGAAGTACAAGAACACCAATTCTCTAATTCCACATGCCGAAACACCGGTAGAAACGATGTAGCTGCGTACAAGCAGCAGCATAATGAAAATGTCGCCGCGATTGATGATCAAACGTTTGCAGCCGAAATGCCAATTGGTAATATCTAAGGTCAGATCGAACTTGCCAAAGGAGATATCCCCTCTTTATTTGAGGGTCGTTTTACTCTGGGAACCGATAAAGTAAATATTGATTAATGAATAACACTGTCCTGCACTTACCAAGAAACTGGCCAGTTTTGAATACATCTCTGTTGGAGGTACGATTTGCAACAAATAACATTGTTGTGTGATACCACGGATTTTGGTTTTCTCTGCACATAGCACGTAACGTCGTATGTCAGAAGATAAAAGCACAACGAGCTGGCACCCTCCCTTGCACCGGCGGATGTGTCTAAAGCGGTTTGCATACCCAGATGTTGCACGGCAAACCGAGCCTCAGTCTGTTGGCTCTGGCAATGCTAAGTTCCTTTGAGCCGAACCGGCTTCTTGAAAAGAGTATGTTGGTGAGACTTACTTCATCGCTTTTCAGGTGGGGCTAAATTGCTCAGTGGTTAGAGCACGAGTTTGCTAACCGGAAGGTGTGTGGTTCGACCCCGACTTCTGCTTCTCACCTCCCCCTGCCTGGGTTTGGCCAACCTGGCCGTATTCAAGTCTTCGTGCTTCCTTCTGGTGGCATGACAGTTGAGCACCGAAAGGGTGCCACAGCTGAACAATTTTTTCAGCTGGTCTTCTTCAACAAAGTAAGTTCACACAGGTCTCGGTCCTCAAA